TCAAAAAAAGCCACGGGACCGCTGTGCTTTGCAAGCCACAAACTCACCCAAACTTTGCTTCAGCCTGAGTGGGAGAGAGACAATATGCAAAGGATCGAGTTCAGTTAGGCTCCAGCATTAACCTCCAGCTCCTGGATGAGTTAATTCAGATATAGCTTGTACTATACTAGCTGGCAAATATATATATATATGTATATATTATATATGCATACATATATACATATAAAAAAAAATATGTAGGTAGCATCCCTGTCATTGGCCTCAGTTTTAATAGCCCAGCAGGGTAGGTGTGTGTCCTGGACGCCTGCCATCGCACACACTAATCCCGGCATGCGAGAGGACCCAGAGAAAAGGGATGATATTTTTACACCCTCTTCTAGGTAAAGCCCAGGAGTAGCTTAGCTGACCCCATTGGACCCAGCACGGCCCCGTCTGGGACAGGGAGGAGAGGTGGCATCAGGAGCCACAAGCATCCTGCCCTCCCACCCTCCCTGGCTGAAGCCCTGGTGCCAACGGGGTTTGGGGCAGTTTTATTTTCAGGAGTCAGGGCTGAGCAGGTGAAGGCAGCGGGATTTTTTTTCTCTTGATGGGTCAGAAATGCACCTTCAGCATGTGTGTCCAATTTAGCATTTCATAAGGTGTGGAAGCACAGGGGTATGGGCAGTGTTGTAAAAAATGAAGCAACCAGTTAGTATCTGTTGTATATACATTTTTTGCGTGTGATTATAATGCCATTTGTATTGGAATAGATGAAGTTCAAACAAAATAACCATTTTGTCTACTCCTTTTCATTTTACTGCTCTTTATCGTCAGTCATCTTGTGTGCACCCATATAGAAGGAAGAGAGACCTATACGCAGGACATGAAATTGTGCCTTCGACATACATTAGGACTGCTGGAAGTCACAGCTTTATTTCACGAGGTGCACAAATCCCCCAGTTTATGCAGAATCCCACCGGTGAGACATGCAGGCCATGTTTCTAAATACTTGAAGTACCGTTTGTTGTGCAATTATTTGGCTTCACCCTTTTATTAGCTGAGAGGAGAGGGGGGAGAATAATCGCACATCCATCCCTTCGGATGAGCCAAACAAATCCCTGCTTCAGCTCCTGCAGTATTTTACTGGAAAGTTTTAGGATCTGTTTTTGTTTCAAGCATATGATGTACCTACTAGAGTCCCCTTTCTTAAGGTCTTACTTTGGTATGGGCTTTCCATTTAGTGCTTTCCTTTGGCTCCCTTAGCCCTTCCCTTATATATTCCTTTTCGTCATTCACTTATAAAAAAGCAACAGCTTCCTGTAATTCTGAATTTCCAGTCTGCCTCTTGGACATGAAGTTAATGATTTATTCAGAGGTACCTCACTCCCATGCCTGAGAGATTAACTGGTTTTCAGAATTCCCACATTACACCTATTGACCGAACACTGAGTTTTGCAGAGAGCAAAGCTGGTATTACGTGTATGTGATGCACGTATATTTCTTTGCTCGTTTTGATCATCAAAGTTAGGAGAACTGGACGGTAAATCAGAGCTCTAGCTGCAAAGCATGAGTACACTTTTGGTGTTACAAAAAGTCTGTTTTCAACAAAAGCCTTGAAATTCCTGCTGAAGCTGCCTTAATTTTAAAATCAAAGTTTATTTGTAAGACTTCTCTCGTATGTTTTTTTTCAAGTTTTGAAATAGTTTATTTATCCTCATCTCACGAAGCTGTGAAGTAGATACTGTAGACATGGTAATATTTATTCTTGTTGCGGAAAGCATGTTCATGTGTTCTGTATCATGTTATATTCACGTGTTTTGTACCTCAATGCATTCGTTTTTTTTTCTTTTAGAGCACAAAGCAAAACTGAATCCCAGGATAACTGTAGTGTCTGTGGCCCAGCATCTTTGGGCAGACAAACTTCAGCTTGATGAGAGAGATGAACTGGACTAGTCCATTGCAATTTTTTGTTTGTACTATAAGGAGTATTTATGATATGTATTTATCTTTTTTTTTTGTTAAAATACTGAACTTCTAAAAGCTCTGAGTATAAGCATCCCTTCAAACGTATCATTAACATGAAGCTCAGAAAAAAAATCCTGAGCTCTATAAATACTCCATCCTTCTTGGTACTTTCTATTTTGTCAACTGATGGACTGGAGAAGGTTTTGTTTTTAAATTAATTGCTTTAATACTTGCTAGCTGTTGTGGAAGGGCACAGAGCCTAGGTTCAGTTTTGTCCTTTGTGCAAGTAACTGCATTAGATAATCACAACGAAGCCTCTTACCTTCCATTTATGGTGTGGAAAGTGTTTCTCGGTGTACTGCACTGCATGTGATAGCTGTCTCCATGGTTGACGTTTGCACTTTAATAAACTCAGAGATGAAAAGAGACGAGAGCAACAAATCCTTAAAACTTACTTACTGCACAGTCCCTTTTTGCAGGCTGGGGTTGGCTGGTAGAGTTTCCCTCTGGAGATGCTCCCGGCACATCCCAGCTGCGGGGCCGTGGATTCCCCCAGGGCTTGAGGTGGCAAAGGGGCAGGGAGGGGGATTAAAATATATACCTGAACAACAGAAACAGCTTTCCCAACCCAAAATACGTACCAGGAGCCATGCCCAAAGGTTTTCTTGTGTATTAACGTGAATCCAGCAGAGCTGATGGACCTGTGCTGACTCAGATCTTGACTCCTTATGCAAAAGCACGGAGAGAAGGATTTTAAAAATATCGTGCAAAAACAACCTTTCATTGCAAGAAAGGTGCTTGGGGGGAAAAACTGGGGACTTAGCTCATATATGCCTGGGATGCAGAGGGATGTACATCCAGCTAAAGCACAAAGCTGCAGTGACTGCTCCAGTCTCCCATTTACACAATTTATGTGGTACAGAATTGGCTTCTAAGAAGTTTCAGTTCTCCCTCAGATTCAGCAAATCAGAACGGTTATCATGATGATCTCCATTTTGAGAAGGAACATGGAGGAATGGGGTTTAAAATTCACATGAGAATTACTTCAAGTTTTGATGTGTTTAGGATCTACCAGCAAGGCTATAAAAGAAAAAAAGAAGAATTTAATTTCCTGACCAGTATCTTGACCTAAATATAGCCAACCTGTGGTTTAATTGAGGAAATCTAAGTTGCTATATGTAAAGCATTTTTGTATTGAGTCATCCTATATCAAGCGCTTTCCTTCTGTACATGCGTTGGAATCTGTCCATGAAGAAGAATAGTTTTAAGTGCGTTGCAAGGCATCCTTGCGTTGTCAGCTGCCAATGCCAGTGCAGAAGGTTGTGTTTCGCATCGAGCTGGGTCGCAACCCCACAAGGACTGTGCGTAATTGCACCGGGATCAGGGCCCGATCACGTATATTGCAGGATATATGGGGAGATTTTTGTTTTAAACTTAATTTTAAAAAAAGAAAAAAATTGTTGAATAACTTCCTTAGGAGACAAAAGAGAACTAGCACATGGGGCTAATACAAGATTTGCCTATAGTGCTTACAGAGCGTGTGATTAATAGACTTCAGGACCTCTGAGCTAGTGCTGGATGGGGAGGAGGATGAGGAAGGAGTCAAGGAAGGGGGTGTTTTCTTCACAGGATCAATCCTAAACATTGCCATGGAAAAAAGCTCCCCAGGTAAACCGTCTCCACAACTTCCATTGGGATAATTCCCCACAAAGTCTGTAGGTGAAGGACATA